ACTTTTCCAAAAGCAAGTAGGAATTACCGATAGCCAGTTGTTTGCAAGTAAATTCCTTTAGGGATACGGGGTCCTACTTAACATTATTAAGAGAAGGACTGTTATCATTCCCCGCCAGATCATATACGGGTTTCGACGCTCTGTTGGAAGCTTATGGTGGCTCCACTACGCGAGTACCCCTGTACAAGTTATATGTTGAAACTCCTTTTTTTACAGGCTGGACGTCAATCGGAGTGTCTCCAACTAACTTCCCCATAAAAGACGTAGACCTATTGATTGGAACGACTTAGCGGAAGAAGGAATATGGAAAGAGCCCATAGTTATGGAAAATCCAACCGAGGAAATTACGTCATCGAAGCCCGACGAACGGAACCTACCCTCTTTCCTCTGAGCGTAGTAACCCGGGCGATGACCAAACAGTCGCGTTCTCAGTTGGTATCGGAGGAAGTCATGGACGACGTCGACGTAGGAGTAAGAGACATATTCAACGAAAGCTCGAGTGTAGAGCCAACAATCCACCCAGAACCGATACCAGTTTCCTAAGTCGGTGGTTTCCGAAATAGATTTATTCTCGAAGGAGGATCTAGTAAGAGAACTCCAAATAGACCCCTCCTTAAGTGACCTCAGGAAGCTTGCTGTGTTGGGAGAAGAAGCCCTTAAAAGTGACAGCTCTTACTATTGGGAGAAGGACTTACTGAAAAAGAAACTAGGATCTCTTAAAAGTGATCATCTACTGGTCTTGCCTACCCCTTTAGAAATTTAGCATGTAAGTTTGCTCATGACAGTCCTCAAGGTGGACATCTGGGACAAAAGAAGACTTTTAGAAAAATTGCTAAGCACTTCACATGGCCAAAAATGAAGGAAGAAGTGGAACAGTATGTAAGAAGCTGTTCTGTGTGTCAACTAGTAGGCAAACCTGCACATAATCCACCACCTGCGCCGTTGAACCCTATACAAGTAACAGGCGAACCCTTTTCACGTCTGGTGATCGACTGTGTCGGCCCGCTACCCAAGACTCGGCAGGGCAACCAGTTCCTGTTCACCATCATGGACACCGTCACCAGGTACCCGGAAGCAGTTCCTCTCAGGAGGATTAATGCTCGCCTAATAGTGAGAGCACTGATTAAGTTCTTCTCTCACTTTGGATTTCCAAGAGAAGTTCAATCGGATCAAGGGTCGAATTTTACTTCAAAATTTTTCCGTGAAGCCTTGGCTCAGTTAGGGGTCAAGACGGTTTACGCGACGGCCTATCGACCCCAATCACAAGGCGTGGTGGAAAGGTTCCATCAAACTTGAGATTATGATGAGGTCCTATTGTTTACAGTATTCCAAAGATTGGGATGAAGGTATTCCACTACTCTTGTTTGCCCTAAGAGAAAGCGAACAAGACAACTTGAAGTTTTCGCCATTTGAGTTAATATATGGGCATCAAATTAGAGGACCAGTACAGGTTCTCAAAGAAGCTTGGACCGGGAAGAAACGCCGACTTTAGGAGCTCTCCTACCTTAATGAAAGAACGCCTGAGCCTAGCTAGAGAATTGGCCGCCGAAAACTTACGACAAGCACAGAGTAAAGATGAAGGAGGAATACGATCGTCGAACTAAACTTCGTTCATTTGAACCAAAAGATCAAGTTCTGGTTCAACGATTTCATCAGGGACATGCTCTACAGCCCAAATTTGAAGGTCCTTTAGAATCGTGAAGCGCCTAAGTGACGTGAACTACTTGGTAAGGACGCCGAAGAAGAGGAACTCACAACGGACGTATCACATTAACCAACTTAAACCCTATTCAGGAATCGTTTCACCAGTTTTCTACTATAACTCCTCTGAACCAAGAACGGTGTTCCAATAAGTTCGGATGAAATGATAGGAATACCAGTTCTTCTGAACAATTCGACAGCCTTAAAGAATTTAAATTCTCTACTGATAAATCTGGAAGTGGACAAAGGACACGAAATAAAATCCTGATTAAGGCAAATCTCCACCTATTCAATGACGTCCAAAACCGTGTACGTTGGGTGTGCACGATGTTACTCTCAGACAACCTACTCCAATCAAGCAATCTCCCTACAGAGTGAGTCCCAAGAAACAAGGTGAGCTGAGGCAGAGGTGAACTTCTTACTCTCACACGGGTTGATATAAAACCAAGTAACAGTCCTTGGGCATCCCCGTGCATTCTAGTCCCCAAACCAGATGGGACTCCCGTATGTGCACGGATTTTAGAAAAGTCAATGCTGTAACAGTGCCTGATGGGTTTCCAATACCCAGAATTGACGACTTAATAGACAAGGTCTCGAGAGCTAAGTATATCAGTAAATTGGACTTGTTAAGAGGGTATTACCAAGTCCCGTTGTCACCAAGAGCTCAAGAGATATCGGCTTTACGATACCAGGTGGCCTATACAAGTAATTGCGTTATGCCTTCGGCTTCTTAACGCGGCCTCTACGTTCCAGCGTATTATGAACATACTTACGGGCGGATTGGACGGAGTAGAAGCTACTTAGACGACTTAGTCGTATACAGCGACAGTTGGCCCCAACACCTTAGACAGCTTAAAGCCTTGTTTGACGCCTTAAGTAAACATAATTTACAGTGAATTTTGTCCAAGTGTGAGTTGGCCAGACGAAAATTAAATACTTAGGATTTCGGATTGGACAAGGTGAAGTCGCTCCTTTGAAGCCAAAGTAAAGCCCTCTTAGAATTTCCTACCCCTAAGGATAGGAAAAGCGTATTCAAGATTTTAGGAGTTGCCGGTTACTACCGTCGGTTCTGTCCGAATTTGCACAGGTAGCTTTCCCTAACTGAATTAACAAGTCCAAAAACAAAGTTTTCATGGACTCAGGACTGTGAAATTGCTTTTAATCGTTTAAAAAGTTACTACCTCTTCCCCAGTATTGCTAAGTCCTGATTTTAATGAACCATTCCACTTACAAATAGATGCCAGTGCGTATGCATTTGGGAGCCGCATTGTTACAGAAGGCTCCAAATTCTGACCTATTACAACCTGTTTCTTATTTTTCTTCTAAGTTAAAGAAACACCAAATTAATTATTCAACTATAGAAAAAGAAGCCTTAGCTCTCGTTGTATGCCTAGAGAATTTTGATGTATATTTAGGATCTTCTACCCATCAGATATCGGTGTACTCCGATCATAATCCTTTGACCTTCATAAATTCTATGAAATCGAAGAATGCCAGAATACTTCGTTGGCTTTGAGAATTCAACCCTTCTCTATTACCATTTCCCATATAAAAGGAAAACATAATCTCATTGCTGATGCCCTCTCTAGGCCTTGAAATTTTATTAATATACCTTTATTTTTAACAGTACGAGTCGGTACTTTTATGACCATCTATGTTGTGGAGAAAGCTGGAGATGATGTAGGACTGCTGTCTGTTACAACCTCTGCTACTGTGACAGATGCTACCCACCACAGAGAGTACAAGTCAATGGCGACCGTCAGTCACAAGGGGGGAGGTGTTACGCGCCCCTACTTCACTCCATTATATACAAAAATAAAAGGCCTGGTTAAAATAAGTTCTGTAATAATTATATCGCGAACACTTTATTACTAGCTAGATAAAGCAGGTTCGACTATATATTATTATCGGGTACAGTATGAATCATCAAAAGTACTCTCTTTGTATTATATTGTATTATATTATATCTTTCCCCATGATTATTATAACTATAATATTATATTATATTATTATTAGGTTAGGTATTACGAATGTGTAACCACTACTGTAGTGACCAATTGGTGGTTCTAGAATTGACGCCACGCGTCGCCTTCTGGCCGAGCTGAAGTCATACTATGAAGTAGTTGAGTGAGTCAGTCAGCTCCTAGCTCTGACTCGATACGGGTCTTCAACCCAAAGCTCCTAGCTTAAACTAAAACTTTATACCAAGTCTTGCCTTTGCCATTAGTCTGGTAATTCATGTCACTTATGAAAGATAACTATTTCGTTACCCTAGACCTTTCTAAAAGAGTAGATTATTAATTGAAATTATTGTATCATACTCTGTTAATGAGAATTTGAATGTAAGATTGGGTTTCTTGCTGTATAGTGTTTCATTTATAATTGCTTGTGGTTATTTTAATTCACTAACCAAATACCAATGAAGCTAAATGATTGGTAATAAAATAAAACTAACAAAAAAAATGGAGTTATTTGTGCCCCTATTGTTACGGTGAAGATTAAGTCGTAACAATTAGTCACGTCCCCATACCCCTCTTATATTCTTTTGCTTTCCACTTTGAATTTTTATTCTCACAAAAAAATAGAAGATTTACTGTTATGCAGACTACTGCATTAGTGTATAAATGGCATAAATAATATCAGTGCACTTGTGAAAGAATATTAGACTCCCCAGTTGACGTATATTGGACACATAGTATGATATGTTTACTTTTGAACATTGGTAAAAATCAAACATTTCTGCTGCTTTGAGCTCAATTTCAAGGTACTTTTCATTGTAAAACCAGTCAAAATCATCTCAATTTCTGTAATATGTCTTCCATTCTATAAAATGAGACCAGGAAAACTAGAATACAACAATAAATACCATACAAAAATACAGTGCAAAGTCGCTGTTTTAATCCCAAAACACGGTCAAAGTTTTTTGTTTCTCATTACGCACTGTGTGCTGCAGGATTTTTTTTATACCACGCACACTGACCACATAGACCCATTCTTTCATATGTAGGCCTACCAGCTTTCTCTCACTAGATTTGAGGGCGCTAGAATTTAGGCATACTAGTACGTCAAAATCCCTGGTGTGTAAGCCGTACTAGTACGGCCGAAACCTGAAAGGGTTAATAGACAGCCTGACGAATACAACTTACTTCACCAACACTTTATGAGAGAGAAGCACACACACTACTGCTACCATCAACACTGACAACTTACTTCACCCAAACTTCATAAGACAGAAGCACACACACTACTGTTACCATCAACACTGACAACTTACTTCACCCAAACTTCATAAGACAGAAGCACACACACTACTGTTACCATCAACAATGACAACTTACTTCACCAACACTTTATAAGACAGAAGCACACACATTGATGTTACCATCAACACTGACAACTTACTTCACCCACACTTTATAAGACAGAAGAACACACACTACTGTTACCATCAACACTGACAACTTACTTCACCCACACTTTATAAGACAGAAACACACACACTACTGCTACCATCAACACTGACAACTTACTTCACCCACACTTTATAAGACAGAAGCACGCACACACTACTGCTACCATCAACAATGACAACTTACTTCACCAACATTTCTGCTACCAAGTGTTGACATCCTCATCAGTTTCTTGTAAACCAGTCCAAGACATGCAGCTCTTAATCGTATCCCATTTCTGAAACAATACATATTTCAGCATAATTAATGCAACGAAAGGTAAACAAAACTGACGTACAAAAAATTATCATAGACCTTGCAGAGCAAGGTGCATATGAAAATTTAAGATGGTAGTCTAGTTCAAGATAATGGCATCTAACTGAAAAATCATGTAAAATGAGCTGAAGAATATAAGGGGAAAAAATAGGGTTACATTCCTCTGACATAAAAAAATGGCAATAAAATTCTAAGAAATACCAATACAGTGGAACCTCTACTTGTGAGTTTAATCCGTTCCATGACCTTGCTCACAACTGGATTTGCTTATTTGCAGAGTCAATTTTTCTCATTTAAATTAACTGAAATGCAATTAATCTGTTCCAGTAGAATTCTGTACTTCAATAATTTCGCTAATATCAACTTTACGGCTTATTTATCTATCTCGCTTGATCTAATGTGACATAATAAACAAAATAAATAACACAGAACCTGATATATACTCCAAAAATTAATAAAATATGTAATTCACGTAGTGGTATGGGAGTGTCGGCAGTGGCGAGAATTTGTCTGGAGACAGCACAAAACACTCCTTGAATATTTTGCTATCATCAACTCTATGGCTTATTTATCTATCACAATTCATCTAATATGAAATAATAAACAATATAAAGAACATAGAAACCTGATATATACTCTAGAATGAATACATTATTATTATTATAATCAAAAAGAAGCACTAAGCCACAAGGGTTAGAATGAATAAAGCATGTCATTATGTAACAGGTGGAGGCAGCCACAACCGCTCCTTCTTTGTTGTGGTAAACAATGCTATCCAGTGACAGCCTTTTTGAAGCCATCTATTATTATAATTATTATGTAGTACATTATTATTATATATGTATCATTATTACACGTATTATATTATTATTATTATTATTATTATTATTATTATTATTATTATTATTATGATTATTATTATTATAGGATGCTTGAATGTGCATGGATGTAGTGCAGATGACAAGAAAACAGATGATTGCTGATGTTATGAATGAAAAGAAGATGGATGTCCTGGCCCTAAGCGAAACAAAGCTGAAGGGGGTAGGGGAGTTTCAGTGGGGGGAAATAAATGGGATTAAATCTGGAGTATCTGAGAGAGTTAGAGCAAAGGAAGGGGTAGCAGTAATGTTGAATGATCAGTTATGGAAGGAGAAAAGAGAATATGAATGTGTAAATTCAAGAATTATGTGGATTAATGTAAAGGTGGATGCGAGAAGTGGGTCATAATAAGCGTGTATGCACCTGGAGAAGAGAGGAATGCAAAGGAGAGAGAAGATTTTGGGGATGTTAAGTGAATGTATAGGACCCTTTGAACCAAGTGAGAGAGTAATTGTGGTAGGGGACCTGAATGCTAAAGTAGGAGAACTTTTAGAGAGGGCCAAATGCACGGTCGAAAGCGAGGGACATTGTTGAGCAGGTCGTAAGTCAGGGTAGGTGTACTCTATTTACTTTATATCTATTTTTTTTGTAACTGATTATTAAATAGGGAAGCAAAGTTTATAACAATCTTGGATTCCTCTCAATTTTAAAAAACATTATCTTCGTACCCTCACATTTCACCCCTCAGATGCAAATGATATAAAACACTACATTTTTGACGGTATGCGGGAAACAAGTAATTTAATCACATTTGTTTGGTTCCTAAGACTGCCCATGATAAAAAATTTTATAAATAAAACATGTTACTATGGGGCTCAGAACTTCAAACATTTATCATGCAGTCCACAAGATTATCCCTTAACTTTTTTGTTTATTTAAATTATACTTTCCACTTTTTATTATCAATCACTAACACATTCAACACAGTGAAAAGTGATGACTGTTACGGGCAGTCTTTCAAATATTTCGTTAATGAGGGTTGAAGTTTTTGTGAAAATTTTTTCAATCATAATGAAGATGTTTATTATGACAGCGGATAAAGGAAAAATAACAAAAACACTGCAAATGAAAGCTAGTACTAAAAATTTTTATGACACATGGGTGTCTTTAAACCCCTTTCAGGGTCGCCAGGCCCTCTTAAGTTTGTTCCCGGGTCCCCAAAAATTCAAAAAAAAAAAAAAAAAAAAAAAATTTTCTTGTAAAAGATAGAGAACTCTTCCTGACAAATGACCCCAAAAGTATGAAATTTGATAAAAACTTAGGGAATTATGCTCTCGCAAATTTAGCGGTCTCAAAAAATTTTTTACGCATCGCAATTTTGCCCACTTTGAGCCCTATTTTCGGCCTTTCCAGTGTACTAGTAGAAAAAAAATCATAACTATTAAAACTAGGACCCTTTTTTTCTGTCGAATGAGTAAAGAAACCCCCCTTTTACTGATTTCAACATCCAAACAGTGGTCAAAATTTTAGCAATTTTGCCAATTTCACACAAATTTCAAACATCCCAATTTTCAAATGGGGCCAAAAAAAACAAGAAAGACTTTCCCGGGCACTAAAATAACATTTCCCTGTTCATTAGTTTTACGCGCCCCTACCCCCCTCCATTATATACAAAAAAAAAAGGCCTGGTAAAATAAGTTCTGTAATAATTATCGCGAACCACTTTATTCTACTAGATAAAGCAGGTTCGACTATTTTATTACGGGACAGTTGAATCACAAAAGTACCCCTTTTTGTATTTATTTATTATAAATTTTCCCCCCATGATTATTAAACATAAAATTATATTAAATTATTGGGTAGGTATTACGAATTGTACCACTACTTAGGACCAATTGTGTTCTAGAATTGACGCCACGCGTCCCCTTCTGGCCGAGCTAAGTCATCTAGAAGTAGTTGAGTGATCAGTCAGCTCCTACCGACTCGATACGGTCTTTAAACCCCAAAGCTCCTAGCTTAAACTAAAATTTTAAACCCAAATTCTTGCCTTTGCCATTATCGGGTAATTCATGTCACTTATGAAAGATAACTTTTCGTTCCCCTAGACCTTTCTAAAAGAATAGATTTTTAATTGAAATTATTGTATCATCTCTGTTAATGAGAATTTGAATTAAGATTGGGTTTTTTGCTGTATAGTGTTTCATTTTAATTGCTTGTAGTTATTTAATTTCACTAACCAAAACCAATAAGCTAAATGTTTGGTAAAAAAAATAAAACTAAAAAAAAAAAATGATTTATTTGTCCCCCTTTTTTTTACGGGGGATAAGTCGTAAAAAGGGGGTTGGGTTGTGGGGGAGCTACTTCCCCTGAAGTACTATTTTTTTTGCTTTAAAATTTAAAGCCCCTTCGAAAATTTAAGAAAATGGATCCATAATTAAGTCATATTAGATGAATTAACAGGGGCTACTTTTGACACTTTAAAAAATTACAGACTTTTTGGGCAAATAGAGACAGTTAATAACCTTATAATAGATCCCATACGCAGAGACCTTAGGTCCCAAATTAAGGATGATTTTTTTCCGAAAACCCAAGCAATCCCAGGACTAGATTCGGAAGATAGTTTATTTCTCATTCGGGGAAGAAAATTCCACGGAGGGGAACTCCTTAAATAATGAAGTTGAACCCGGGGGTTTAAAAGGGCCCTTTACTACAGTCCAGTCTAAAAGCTCTCCCCCGTTCATTTCCCCGGGAGATTATCGGTGGTTGGAACAAACCCTCATAAAATACGGGGAAAAATTTTAGGACGGGCTCGTCCCAAAAATTCCGGAAAGACCCCGTTTCCCCTTCGGGTCATTACCTCTGGGGAATTTTCCCCACGCCCCGAACAACAGAAAATGAAGCATATACTTTTACAAAACTCCAAATCGAAGCTAGAAACGTCTAAACGAGGAAAAATTTTGGGGCGTGAAAGGTTTCGTTTTGAAACAAAGAAGGGGGTTCCGGGAAAAGAAAAGACGTAAGAGCACGGTAACCGGGTTTGACCTTGCATAAAGCACTCAAAGGTACCTAAGTTTTAACGAAACAGATTTAGATGAATTCCCTTTGAAAAATTTTTTGAGAATTCAGGCCTTCCCCAATGGGGCTGGCCCAAAGAAAAAAATTGGGCCCACATTTTGCGAAAAACGCCCCCAAAGGAAAGGCGCAGTCTTGTTCGCCTCCTACCATATGAGTTTTGCCATACGAGTGTAAAGAAACTTTTTAGAAGCATATACATGCTCCCTATTTTTTACCAAAAAGCTTTTCGTTCCATGAAACGCAACAGGACAAACTTATTTAGATTTTCCCCGAGGAAAAGCAGGGCTTTGAACTTTGGGTGTCGACTTCCGGGTCCGACTTTAAAGTCTATCACAATAATTTTTACTAAAGATTTTTATGCAAATTTCCAGGGGGGTTCGCCATATCTTGTGGCCACCGAAACACTTTGTTAGAGATGCGGCGCGGGCAGACACTTTGAGATTTCCCAAGGTTGGTACAATCTGAAGCAGCCGGGTTATAAAACCCACAACGAGCCCCAACCGGAAGCCTTTGGGTAAGCGACCCCCCCCCAAACCCCCGCACCCCCGTTAAAAATAAACCCGAAGTAAAACCCCAAATCATCGAGCCCATCCATAGACCAATGGGCATGGGAAAAAATTAATGTTCGTACTTTTCGAAGCGGGACATTTCAAATCACAATGTTTTAAAAGGTATAGGACCGGGAAGAGTCCATCCTATAGATTGCCCAACAAACATATCCTCTACGACCATCCAAAGGGAAGTCCGACCAAGAGTAACGCTCTGTCCCAAGAAAAGGAAAGATCCTCCTATTTTGACTAAGCAGAATATGGGTATCATCGTAAAACTTGTCAAGAGCTATGATCCTTACTTTTCCAAAAGAAAAGAGGAATTACCGAAAGCCAGTTTTTTCAAGTAAATTCCTTTGGATACGGGGTCCTACTTAACATTATAAAAAAGGGCTGTTATCATTCCCCCCGCCAGATCATATAGGGGTTTTTCGACGCTCTGTTGGAATTTTAGGGGGCTCCACTACGCGAGACCCCTGTCAAGTTATATTTGAAACTCCTATTTTTACAGGCGGGGACG